CATGGCTTATAAAAAACAAATTTTAAACAATGTGGCAATAACCACATGATAAATTATTTTTCTCAAAATTGCACACACTTCCCTCAATCGAGGCTTTGGTTTCTAAAAATCAGGTTCCCATTATACATTTTCAAACAAGATTTTTCAAACATTGTTTGCATTCGTCTTAAATCAAGATTGGCAAAAGTTACGCTTTATTTCAAAGAGTGGAAAGCAAGTAACATCTTCCCGGGGGCAAATGGTGTGACCCAACAAAGAAAGAAGTTCAAATGCTCATAGTGGGTTTCCTTACTCTCCAAATCATGAGTAAACAAGAAATCTCAGAGATCTTGAATCACTCTGTTCAAGCTATCCTGCTATTAAGTCAACTCATCCTTAAAGCAACTTTCCTATAAGGAGCTCATGACTACCAATTTACCATGATTACTCAAGAGTGAGAAGATATGTGGAACCCTAGCTTGAGAAACAAGCAACCCAACAGTTGGCACCAATGGGACATACCACAAGATGAAAGTGCACAACAGATCATGGGATACAACTTGATGTGGCCTTGAAGATGGATAATTTGAAATTCTCACAAGTCCAATACTCAATCTTCTCACTAATTCGTTGTGAGATTTCCATATACTCTTCACCAATTGGAGGAACGGGTCGATCGACTATCCTCTCATGGCCTATTATGTGGCTCACACCTTCCAGCGAAGTCAATCAAACATATATTGCAAAACCGACATCAACAAGACAATACCCAGAGATGATAAATTCCTCTTAGCCAAGCACAACGTACTCGCCTAGCAAGAATATCAATCAAACTAAATGAGCGCATTATCCCAACGCCACCATGGTACAAAAGCCTCCTACAAATCAACCTACCAAACACAACTCATGAACAAGAAGATCATACGACTAACACATCAGCCACTCAAGCACCGATGTCTAAGGTGGAGAAAGTAGAGGACCAACCTTTCAGTAGTCCCCCAAAATGACATGCCTTAGGATCAGTGAGGAGACAAAGAGGAGATACTAGATGGCAAACCCAATACCTTGCGATAATGGCTCACGCCGAAGGGAGAAAGTACCCACCGGCGACACCCATGCTACTCCAGCACCACCAAAACTATAGATCACGTTCACTAAAAGGGACAATGACATAGTTCTTTGTGGATGATCGATTTAAGAGAATCCTCGATGTAAAATAGATAAACCATGAGGAGCAATCGTACTCTTTCATACGCATACTCTTCAAAACATCATCATATGACTTATCATACAACATTTTATCGAATGCACTTCATATCATATCATTCATTAAATGACTAGCTTCAAGGAATTCACAGCCAAAGTAAATATCAATCAGGCAAACCCTTTCAACAACATTTCGAATCACGACATTACATCATGTCATACAACATCTTGCATTTTCCCGCCATTCGATGCTCCAACTCAGGTCCTACCGCCAAGAATAACTAAAAAACCAACTCAGGCCCTACCGCCACGATACCTAAATACCAACTCAGGTCTTGCCGCCAAAATACCTAATACCAACACAGGCCCTACTGCCAAGATACCTAAAAGCTAACTTAGGCCCTGCCGCCATGAAAAACAAACCAGATTATACCGCCGCGAAAAAATTCCAAGTCAGTCTACACCTCATAAAAATAGAAATCCAAATTAGGCTATATCACACTCTTTCTCTCACATGTTTTTCATAACACGACATTATCATTCATTAACATTACTCATGATTATCTCACAAAACACTCTCATACTCATTATCACCATGCATTAAAATGTCTAGCATGTCATATCCCGGACAACCCCAGAGCTTTGCAGTCAATAATATTTAGCATGTCTTACCCCGAACAATTTGATTGCCTTGTCAGTACAAATGTCTAGCGTGTCATATCCCGGACAACCCTATCGCATTGCCATCAACAAATGTTCAGCCCGTCATATCCCGAACAACTTGATTGCATTGTAAGAAAATGTCTAGCGTGTCATATCCCGGACAACCCATCGCATTGCCATCAACAATTGTTCAGCCCGTCATACCCTGAACAACGTGATTGCATTTTTCATTCAATTTGTTCAACGTATTATATCTCGAACAACTTAAGTGCTTTCTTATACCATCTTTAAATTTGTTTAGCTAGTTTTACCCCAAACAACTTGAATGTGTCGTCATCATCAAACAATCGACCCATCCCTAACACTGTCAAAATTTGGTGTCCTAAAAAGGAACTTTGTATACCTCTCAAATCCCGAGAGATATACAAAGGGGGGCAACTGTAGACACCACATTTTGTCCGGGCAATTTACTAATTCGAACTACTGATTAAGAGTAGTTGAGTATTCGGTTTGTTTTAAATTGACAATAGTCACTCGTAAACATCTCTATATATGATTAACATTTAGTAAAACTAAGGATGTCGAGACATCAGAGTTTGTTTTGGACATGGGTTGAGTTGTTAAAATTTGGGCGATTAAACAAATTTAGCGATAGCTAACTCTATTTGCTAAAAAATAAAAATTGATTAGTGGATTTGGGACTTAACTTCGAGAACAATTGGGAGTGTCATTGTCCAATGGTTGAATGCAGCTAAGAAGGTGGACAAAACGATCTCAGAGTGCTGGCTTAATGCCTTGAAGCTAAGGCTGTTTCCCCCCAGGGGTTGAGCCTTTTGTGCTGCTCCTTTGCGGCTCTGCTGCTGCTTTTGTTTGGGTTCCGCTCCTTGGAGCCCCTGCTGTTTTTGCTGATTTTGGCACCTTGTTTCTTGGCACCCCTGCTGCAGCAGGCTGCCTGTCTTTGTTGTTGGTTTTTGTTTCCTTTCCTTTTGTTTTTTTCTTGACGCCTCTGCCCCCCCCCCCCCCCCCCATTTGTACTCGTGGCGTCTGTGTCTGCCGGGGGTGCTTAGCGTCTTGCTTTTTTGCGGGTTTGTTTTGTTCTTCTTCTTTTGTTTGTCTGTACTTTTTTTCCAACTTAATATATATCATCGTCATCAAAAAAGATAAGGAAATAAGTAATGGTCTTATTAAAATAAATTACAATTTACAAACACATTACTAAATAAAATTACAAAACTACAAATACAACATTGTTAAGCCCAAGTCAATGATAATTATATACAAATAAGATTCAACGATAAAATAAAGTCAACTCTGAAAGTCATACCCAAAATCAATTGTTCTAATTCAATCAAACCAGTTGAACCCAGCCTGAACCAACTCGACCCATACCATCTGAACCAAGCCGGTTCGATCCAACCCAATCTACAACATACTTACCACTAGAGGGCGGCTCCTACATACCCTCAAAGCCAATTACATGGTGCCACCTCTGCAGTTTTTTACTATAAAAAGAGCCCTTCAGCTCTTGGGAAAAGGGGGAGAACAAAAAAACATTCCCTGAACCTTTTCTTCTTTGTCACTTCCTTCTTTCTGCTGATCCTCCTTCCTCAAAATTCCAAACAAAAAAAGAGGGAAAATAACAACAACAAATAATTCTTCCTTCTTCCTCTTCCCTACGAAAGCTCTTTCTTCTTCTTCCCCATGCCCCCACTTCCGAAAACAAAAAAAGAAAAGGGGACTGCTTTCTGGGATTTGGATCTCTCCTCCTCTTTCCCCACGGCAGAATTCCCTCTTCTTATAAAAAAGAAAAAAGAAAGAACCCAACATCAAGCTTCTTCTCCTTCCTCCTCACGAGCTGTAGAAGAAGAGAAGGGTGCTTTCTTTTCTTCATCCTCTTCTTCGCTTTCTTCCAGACAGCTTCTCTTCTTCTCTCCCGAACTTCCTGCCGAAAACTTCTTCTTTTTCTTCACCGAAAAAGAATTTATGAAAAAAGAACAAAGAACAGGCTTCTTTTTCTTCTCTTCCTTTCCATTCCCCTTCCCAAACAAAACAGACAGATAAGAGAGAAATTCCTCCCCACTACTTCCTTACTTCTGATCCACACTCTATAAACAAACACAGAACACAAAGCTCTCATCTTCTCTTTTTCTTCTTGATTGAGAAAACACACAAACAATCCCAGCATAAAAGACAGACAACTCTAAAATTCTCATTCCACTCTTTTCTTAGCCACATAGATTCACAAAGAGAGAGGAAAAGGAGAGTCCAAAAAAAAACCCTCAGTTTCTACTTCTGCTTCATCAACTTGCATAACAACACAAAAAAATTCAATATGGAAAAGGAGACAGAAGCAGCAAGTAAAAAAGACAGCAGTTAAGCATCCACAGAAGTTGAGAAAAGGGAGGCAGAATCACCATCAAACTACAAGTGTAAGATTGGTAGCCGACTAAACCAACCACCATCATCTCAATCATTCACCATCATCATCATATTCAACAATCATTATATAAGTTTTATTTTAATTAGGGTAACTTATTAAGTCTCATTTACTTTATCAACTATTAGTCATACAATCTATTGCCATTTACTCATTACTGCTATTTACTCCTTATGTTTCTAATTATCATTCCATAAAGCTATATACTATTAATGCCTAATTTCTGTCCTATTGACACATAGATAGTAAAACGTAATGAGGATGAAACCTACTACCTAAATAAATAATCAGATTCGAGTTTTCAACCATGAACTTGACAATCCAGGAATTTATCAACCTCACAACAAACCCCATCAATTTCCAGTACAAAACCAGCGGTTATCCTAACTCAAAATCATCAAATGCATTTGCACAGTCACATATTTTCAAAACCCAGATCTTTAAACCAGTTTTAAAACCACTCCAACTAAAATACAATCTCAAAATCATAAACCAAAATCAAATCCCACATTCGATCCAAGCCCCAAAACCCAGGTTTCACCCATCACAAAACTCAAAGAACCCATATAAACAATTCAGTTTCAAAACCATCACCCAATCAAACCCAAAAGTCCCAAATACGCCTAAGATAACCACCAACTTCATTACTGAATCCCAAAACAACAACAACAACAACAAACAAAACAGGTCCGAATCTACTAAAACCCCTCAACTCAAACCAAGACTAAAATTTGATTCTCATCTGACGAGTCAACCGCTGGCACTGTCACCAGAGCTTGCCGGCGGTGACTCTTCTTCTCCCTAGCCACTCCTTCCCTCGTCAACCTCCGCCAAAGAAACCAGAAACAAAAAATAAAAGGTCAGAACCGACCAAAAACAAAGAAAAAGCGAATCAAAACCAAAGGTAGACAACCCACCTGAAGCCTCTCGCCGGAGCTTTGCTCCTTTCTGCCGCCGGCGTCGCAACTGGCATCGTCGATGTAGCGACGACCACACCCTCCTTTTCTTCCTCGATCAAACCAAATGGAACCCAGAAAAAGCAATCACAATCCGAAACCCCCCTAAAAATCGACATGCAACCCGAAAAGAGACTTACCTCTGACCTTCCTCGTCACCATAATCATCGCCAGCGTCGACTGCTGCAGTCATCGTCGCCGGCGTTATCTTCCCCTTTCTTCCTTTTCTCTCGTAATTTCCACTCGTAATTTCCAGAAAGAGAGGAGAATGCAGAAGGGTTTTGTTCTTTCTTTTTACCTTGCTCGATTTAGAAGAGAGCAGAAGAAGAGAGGGCGAGAGGAAGAATAAGAATCGAGAGAAGGGAAAGAGGTGAACGACGAGAGTAATGGGAAGGCTGAAGTGGCTAGCGGCTAGGGTTTCTCCAAAATGGGTTTTATACCCGACCTTTCACAAAGACCAATTTACCCTCGTCATCTTTGCAAAATCACCCATCCTTGCCACTACTTAAAAACGAGTGGTAAAACTAAACTCAGTTTCTGTGGGCTTCGAACCAGTGACCACAACTGACACACCAAATTTCAGTCAATGTACTAAACCACTAGACTGGTTGCCTGCGGGTTGTTGTAATATTAATCTCAATATTATTTATATTACATAATCTTAATACGTAAGTTAAGTGAGACAAATTACTTAGTCAATCTCAAGGAAAGTTTTCTAACGTCAATAAACTTCTAATACTGAAATCTATAAGAATAATAACTAACTCCATTTGAAATCATTATCAACATACATATTTCTTTTCTAAAAATTCTTAATACGGAATCATGGTCAGTTGACCGTGATAATCTTCACGTTGAAACTTCTCACAAAATCGTCAATCATACAATTATAAAATCTAAACATATTTCCTCATGAAAAATACAATCTCGAACCTTAACCACGGTCAATAGAACGTGCTAGTTCAACATTTTGAAACCTCTACCAATTCAAACGAACTACGTGGACTTTGATCCCGATTAACTCGGGTACGTAGGCAACCAATAGGTTCGAGTCCAACTAATAAAAAATATTTTCTTTACTTTCTAGATTTTGCGTCAATAGACGGATAATCGAATCATAATAATAAACACCAAATTATTTGAATTCTTTAATTAAATACACAATAATTCGCAAATAATAATACACCCAACTCTTAAAAACTTATCGATTTAAGTAGTACCCATTTGAGGCGTTGTGGGGTGTGAATACACTTCCCCACACGTAACCGTACTCCCGAACCCATAAACCTAAATTTCGCATACCAAATCCCGGTTTCGACCCTAAGGTTGAGACCGGACAAAAGGTGTTCGATCCACCACAGCTAAGGTCGATGGCGACTCCGAGCGTGTCGCGACAATCCCCCGATCCGGAGGGGCGGTTGCGACAGTAATATTGACTTGGCAACATGATATTGATTTGAAAAAAACACATGAATGTCAACATTCCAAAATTGTAGTATTTTAAAAAAGAAAAGAGTTACAGTTTGTTAACAGTAACATGAAATGGCTAATATATTGTTGATACATTACAAAAGATTTAACTAATTATTAGTAATTCAATAAGTTTGACTAATAAAAAACAATGAGGAAAAAGTTTGGGTAATAATTATATTTACCTTAAAACTTTTAGGCACTAAAATATAATTTACATCAATATTTTTAGGACTTATATGCAAAAAATAAAATTTAGGTATTAAATCTCAACACGAAACCCAAAATTCATGGGTTGGGGGAAGAGATCATGTTATGAATGAGTAGTTATTAAATATTCTTAATGAACTATGTTAGTATTGTGATAATAATAAGGGTGTAGCACCCTATCCAGATCACTCATACAGTATACCCTAGCTATAGCTGCTACTTAGCAACGCTTCGACAAGAGAGAGAGAGGGATCTTGCACTTCGAACGAAAGTGCTTAATTTCATAAAAGTTCGGGAATACAATTGTCATTTCGAAAAGTTCATAATATACATGTCAATCTCGTGCGAATAAAGAATTAGCCTTATGGCAATACCACTTATTTTGAACCTGAAGATCTCAATCTGAAGATACCAATTAGGCTTGGGCCTGATGAGATAAAAATCAACCTACATAACCCTTAAAAATAGTTCAATTTCGCAACAAAGTTCAGAATCGATAATGGCATTAGCTCTCAGCAACCTAACCGATCAATTAACACCCCTTGGAAATCTTTTTTGTTTAGGAATAAAAAATGACATATGTTATCTCATTCACAGAAAGGCTGGCCGCGGTAAATAACTCGTTCAATGTAGAAGATGACACAAACGGCGGCACAGGAGACAAATAAAGGATTGTAAATGTTTGAAACCCCAGAAAGAGGGTGTCCAAGTAAGTAATTCTCATTCGGTCGAACCTCAGCTGGCCCTAATAATGCCTCTAGTTAATCTGATTGACGGATGCATGCATATTTATACATAAACCCATACCCACGGTTGTTGGAAATTTGGTTGAATCGGACCGGTTTTGGATTAAACCAAGGGCTATCGTACGTGTACCCTCGTCCCTAAAAGTCCCAACAACGTTTACGCTGATATACACAGCATTACCACAAGAAACGACCGGTAGTCAGCGAAAAAAAGAAGAAAGGAAGGAAGGAAATGACGAAGCAGTTGTTCATCATCATCGCCATACTCGTCGCAATAGATGCACTATCCTCCTCAACTTCCGCCGCTGCTGCTCGAGAACCACGACGCCGCCACAAGCTCCTCTCGACCGATCAAAACATCATCAATTTCACCGATGATGGCGGAAATTCTTCTGCCTTGAGATCAGCCGACAAAGAAGAGGACAATGCAGCGGTAGACGATGTCGAATTACCACCCAACTGCGGCCTATGGGGGGATCGTGTTAAGAAATGTGTGTTGATTAGCACTTGCCTTGCCTTGCTGCAGCGAGTATGATCAATGTGGCATTCGTCCGGATTTTTGTGGCATGGGATGTTGCTGTTGACACCTAAAATTAGGGTAGTTATCATAAATGGTAACAATTCTATTCACCGAAACGATCACAATCCTTTAATTTTGCACATTTCGGTAATAAAGGTTTGAACGAATAACGATTTGGTCAATCCGTCCAATTCCGTTCAAGATTCCATCACCTTTTGCCCAGTCAGCATGACACATCATCAAAATTATTAATTATAAAATTAATTAATCACCCCACTTAACCCACACAACCCAACCGGTCGTTCTTTACCACCCCTTCCAGAATTGGAGAAAGCCGGTGACTGAGAGATAGTGTTCTTCTCCACCACTCCGCCATCGGAAATCTCCTCCTTTCTCTGGCCGCTTCCTCCATACCTCCGATTCCTCCCGAAATCAACAATAGCAAAGACACCTCTACCCCGCAGCGCTCCCTTCCCCTCTTCCTCCACCTCGACGCGCCACAAGGACTTCCCCGATTCGTCCATATTGCTCGGTCGGAGCACCGATGAGATTTCCACCAGCCGAGACGAGCGTGCACTGGAGGAGGGAGATGGGCACTTCACGGTGACTAGATAGGCAAATAGAAAGTTAATTTTTGGGAAGGCGAGAGAGGGGTATAGATCGGAGGGGAGGTGGGCGACGACGATTTGAGCACCGAGCAGGAGAGATGAAAAACGACGCCGAGCCGGGGAGGTGGATGATGATGGCGATGCACACGCCGAGTAGGGAGGCGGGAGACGACGACGATCCGAGCAGAGGAGGTGGGGAGACGACGACGCCGAGTAGGGGAACTGAAGAATGATTTTTGGTTTCCCCTACAGAGAAGATCAATAGATGACCAGGAGCAAGCCAGAACTCGGCAGCGACCTAGGTCTTCAATTCCTTTTTTTATTTTTTATTTTAATTCTAGGTTTGGTTTGACCCGGGTCGATTGGGTTTGTTATCAATTTTTATTAATATTTTACGTGACGTGTCATGCTGACTGGAGAAAAGATAACAGATTTTTGGACGGAATTGGACGGATTGACCACTTTGTTATTTGTTCAAACTTGTTTTACCGAAATGTACAAAATTAAAGGATTGTGACCGTTTTGTACAAAGTGAATAGAATTGTGACCATTTATGATAACTACCCCCTAAAATAAATTCGGTCGGAATTAAATGCCGCATTAATTAGTCTCGGCATTTAATTCGATACCGAGAGTACAAAACGGTGTCGTTGGAAGTCGAGCGGCGTCGCGGAGAACTAAAAACGGTACCGCGAGTAAGCCCAGCTGTACCGCAACACTGGAAACGACACCGCTTGCCGAAAATAAAAAAAAGGGCCGCACGTTTAATGGGGTTGGAGGAGGAGTTTTGATTATTTGATTATTATTTTTATTTCTTGGGAGAAGCGGCACCGCGGAGAGCTAAAACGGTGCCGCGGAATTAAAAACAGTACCGCGAGGAAGCCCAACGGTACCGCTATACTAGCAAACGACAGTGTTTAATAATAAACAGTGTCGCGGAAGAAAAAAAAACGGAGCTGGTTGGGAAAGAAAACGACACCGCAATGCTGGAAGTGGAGTCGTTTAATATTAAAACGATGTCGCGGAGCTGTTTGGGAAAGGAAACGACATCGCGGGATCATGAAAACAACTCACGTAAAGTTCACGCGAAGCAGTTTGAGGAGCGAAGCGGTTGAGACACGTGGGATTTCACAACGGAGCAGTTGAGGAAGCGGTTCCACCGAGCGTGAAGACTACGAAGCATTTTTTCGAATAAAAGCAGTGGAGCAAGGAGAGAGAAGAAAAACAACCAAAAATCAACACAGATCAACTCTGTTCAAACTTTACCTTTTCTCTGTAACTCCTTCGCGGAGCTCTCCTTCCAGGAAGGATCTCCATAGTTGTAGTCTTAGTCGTAGTCGCGGAGCTCTCCACAGGAATCTCCATAGGAGTAGTCGTAACGTAGATTCCTCAAAAACTCAAACACCCTCGTTCGAACGTAGTTTGGAGAGGTGTGAACCATAGTCACAGTCGTCTTGATTAGAAGTCAGTGGCGCATCAATTCGATCAAATAAACATCGTCGTTTGGCACGCCGACGATGGTATTTGGTCAGAAGATAGTGGTGCATCCGTTCAATCGGCACCGCAAGAGTTTCCACCGCGAAATATTAAATCAATATCGCCGGGAACGAATTCGGCACCGGCGGTGGCATTTGGTTTTCCCGAGGAAACAATTTGGCACGCCTAGTGGGACACGTGTGTTTGATATGGCTCTGCAACGAGGAGAAGAAGATGGTGGTCTTCCACAAGGATCCGTGGAGGA